GTTCATAACCCATTTTTTCGAACTGCAAACAAACAAACACACGAACAAATAAACAAAACAAACAAACAAAAAAACTCGGATGTATTCTTTTTCCCACAGAAAAACTAGACTTCTGTGGATCGGAGTTGGAGTTCGAATTGACTCTACCAGTCGAGTTAATTTCAACTCCGGATTTGGAGTTCGGTTTTAACTCGAACCCAACTCCAACTTTACATCAGACTGGACAAATGGAAGAAGATTCGAAAAGATGGCTTATCCTTTTGAGATGTTGTTTTGTTTCGCTCTTTTTTGCATTTTTGTTTGAATCCACTTCCAATTTCTTGTTTGTTTCCGATTTTTTTGCATTCTTTCATGATCTCTTTCATAAAATTGTTTAAGTTTTTTCCGATTCTTCGCGTTTCAATTCGTTTCTTTTTCGTTCACTCGGCACACCGATTACCCAACTTTGTGCAATTGCTGGCGTGGTGACAACAAAAGACCATGGCAAGTAGAAGAAGTGTCAGACACTGACAGGCACTGGCAATTATTGCCCACTATTCCGCGTCCAACCAGAGCTCAAGCCCCAAAACAGCATTGAATGGAATTTCAGCACTTAAACACGAAAAAGTCGCTTATTAACTGTTGAAGTTTGGATGCATGAGTTTTTGTGTTTAACCATTGTTGAACAACCGTGAAAAGATCTTGCCAAAGACGTAGTTCAAGCGCGATGACTGTGAAATCGATTGTCGCGGTTGGACAAAGCAGAGCGGCACCAAGCGGCAGTTTAGTTGATGCATCTTGGAGAATGCAGGCGACAGCGAATCACATGTCCAGTGAAGATTGCAATTCATAGAAATCGATGTTGGTTTGAAGCTAGATTGTGCTCCAAGTCTTTCAATGTGCTTGGGTGAGCAGCTTAATTTCGTAGTTATCCAGATCAGTGACAATGGCTTGAATACCGATGTCGCCAAGTTCGGAGATCTTTCAAGAAGTCGCGTGGCAGGTGGATCTCCAGGAAGGATTTTTGTTACAGGTTCGCTTGCTTCGCACAGGCTTTGCTGAAAACCGAACATCCGTCGACCTCCCGGATGTTGCCTTGCCTTAATCCATTTTGTCCTGAGTGAACCTGAAATGCTGTGGGCATGCTGGAGCTAGCAAGTAGTATTTACTTGTCCGTCATGCGCACTGGAATTGCCCATGTTCGTTTGGGTTAGGCAGAAGTGGAAGTTTGGGTTTTGTCGGCGAACTCATGGTTGAGAGAACTGGTCCAAGCCATGAACTTGTTAAAGAAATATTCACAACCGGCTAGATGCCTGCTGCGAATCATGGCCGTTGCTGCTGCATCGGTCGGCGATGTTCCTGTGCTTTCAGAGGCAGGTTTCTCGAACGCTCCCAGTGGCACAGACAGCGTTCGAAGATTGATGCCTGCATAGTGTCTCTCGTTTCAAGACATACTATTCAATTCCGATGAATCTTGGGTTGTCGGAAGGACGAATGCGAGCGCTTAGCACAGACCTTTGAGAGGCCAGTGTTGCAGTTTGGTGTCGGGTTTAGTGCGATGCTTGACATGTTCTTCGTTGCACAAGCATGTGAACTCAGATTTTCATTCAGATCGAGAGCATGCTTTCCGCTCACGCATAATTCGCACGACCTGAAGTTTCCTGGAAGTTGTGGGGGCAGGCCGCATTGAAGCGTGTTTCGCAACACGGTGGCCAGGTCACGCGGAACAGACGGGTTCGTGGATGCAGCAGAGAGCCAAAGGCTGTTGCGCCGCACAGGATTGCAGGACGGGAGTTATGCAGACATGTCAGGTTACTTCACTTCATTTTTCGAGTTCGTTCTTGCGGCTCTGTCTGCCACATCGACATGACAGGGAGACTTCCATCGATGTTCTGCCCATATCTTTTGTTTCGACACTTCAGAGATGAGTTGGGCTGGCCGCAGGAGCAGCTTCTGGAAACCATTTGGGACCTTTCAGACTTGGACCGTGATGGTCGCTTGTCGTGCAGCCGGCATGATTTGAAGTGCGGCCTGAGAAAAGAATGTTCGAGACTAGATAGTTGTAGTCAAAGGTGTTTAAGCGTCCGCCATCCTTTCATTGCAACAGTGCAGAAAAGTTGTCCAACCAGAATTGCGAAATTGCGCATGCGTGCGACGTGTGTTGTCTTGTGGTCATGCGAATGATGGGCTTTGAAGAGGCTCAGAGAGTTTGTCTGCGCCATGACGCTTGCAGACCAGGCCTGGACTGCCTGTTCCCGTTTGGAAAGACATTGGCTTTCAGGCTTTGCATGGCTTTGCATGGCTTTGCGGTCTTGCAGCCGCCTTCAGAAGACCAAGAAGGCAGAACAACAACAAACGTTTCCCAAGCCAGTCGCGAGCTTTGGATAAACATGTTTTGACTGAGCCAAGGGTCTTCTCCCCATGTTGTAAGGCTCGGAATGGCCAATCCTTGCCTGTCGAACTGCATCCGGAGCAGCAGGCAGGCTTAGCATCTCGCCGGGAACTTGGGTCGTTCAGCAAGACCAAAGATCATCTCATGACAAGAGCTGCAGTATTGTGACCGGCCGTCTTCTCCAGGTGTGGAGCTTCTTGTGCAAGCAAGGCCACGTAAAGAAGTTGCTCGGAGGCAAAATGTTGCAGTCAGTATCAAGCTTTCCCTCGTTCGAATCTGCATCCAAGCTCCCGAAATTATTTCTCGGGGCGTACCAAGGAGTTCAGCACGGTTGAGACGAGTGCTAGCTTCCGTGCTCCTGCAGCAGGCCAGAATGAAATCCTGGGTCCCTGCATACCCATATCTCTCTTGCAGAGCACAACAAGATCCATTCCTGCCAGCTCCCATCCCAAAATAACTTTAAATATGTCCATCGGGTGGGATGCGGTCTTGCAGACGGCTTTGACACTCGCCTGGCCAACAGGAGCAGGTGGCTTCGACTCGGAGCCCAGCTTGCCTCAGCAAGGGACCCAAAACCTCAGATGCTTGTGACAGCTGGCAGCCCTCTGAAATCTGTAGCATGGCAGAGATGTTTGGCCCGTCCTCAGTGCCTCTTCGTTGACTACGACACCTGCACGTCTCGAGCTTACACTGCGCACGAACCGTATTACTCCCTTGATCAAGAATAAGTTGCACCAAAGCATTGATTGAGGGACAAATTGGAAGGTTTGGAGCGTTTCGTCGCCTGGTTGCAGCAACAGTGTGTACAGCAACTCAGCGTGCCTCAAGGTGGGCGTGACTCGACACCGCGGCCGTTGACGGGTGCCGAAGGTTTGGCCGTAGGTTGTTGAGTGTGGCACTGACGCGAGGGCAAAGTGCAGAACCCAGGGCGAGAGCACACCTTGGATGCGAAAGTTCCTGAGACGTGTGCCCGGACTCGCTTGCACCACAGAACCTTGCTTGCAATGCTGTTTTGCTGGTTTGGTCTATCGAAGGTGTCTTTTATACGAGTTCGGAGCACTGCACTGCAAACATGAGCGATTTCTTCCTGCCAGGCTGACAAAGCTCGGGCAGCTTGCAACTGTTTTGAAGCTCGTCTCTCGTGCGGCAAGACCCTTACAACCAGTCTCCCTGTGTTCAAAAGACAGAAGTGCTGACAACGATCACGCACATAGGACAGCAAGGACTAGAGTTGACTAGAGTCTGACTAGAGTTAGAGTTAGAGGCAGGTTATCTCAAAGGCTACTGTCAAGCTCGACAGCTGTCAGTGTAGCTGATACGACCCACAGTTACAGGCTCTGCAATTGCACTCCCAGTTGTTTTGAAAGCAGTGGCATTGTTGCTTTTTACCGGCATCGTGCGTATGCATCCAGATCCCTGTTCATGTAGGAGAAGACGGTCCGGAGCGACTGGTGTGACTGGACTTGGCTTGCTTTTTGATCGAGTTTCCTGCTGCTGAAACTACACAATGTTTCGTTCCAGACTGCAAAACAAATGCACAAGTCCCTAATTAGCGATTCGGATGGCATGAAGAGTTTGGAGCTTGAGATTTCCTCGCTTTAGCTGGCGGGACAGGGCAGATCTCCCCCTCCAACTGATAAGACACCGATATCCTAAACCACTTCCTAAACCCTGAACCCTAAACGCTCCAAACTCTGAAGCCCTACCCTACTTGTACCATGTGAACTGACCTCTTCGCACAAAGACTTGGGCCCTAGGACCCCGGTGATGAGCTTCGAAAGCTTTGCCAGGAGGTTCGAAGAGCTCAGGGCTTGGGAGGTATTGGAGCAGTTTAGGGTTAAGGGTTTCGGAGTGAGAGAAGTAGGGTTTGGGAATCGGGGTTTAGGGTTAAGGATTGTTTTGGCAGCTGCGAGTCGCCAATCTGCCGATGTGTTTTGGTTTGCTATGGGACTTCTCTTTACTGCCCGAATGCTTGCACATCATGGTAGATATCTCGGACTGTCGTCTTTCATGTCTTTTAGACGCTGTGTTATGTTTAGGTTCCGATACGAGAGACTAGTGTTGATGTTCTTGCCAAGACAACTTCTAGCTGAGTTGGTCTTTGAGGAGGTGCGAAAGAAGCTGGAACACGGGTTGGTTTTTCTTGGGATGAAACCTTCGCTTACCTTGTGTGTCTAGGCACTTCCTATTTTCTGGCTGTTTAGCGCTTGGCGCCAGTGTGTTACGTTCATGACTCCATTCATGACTCGCTTTAGGGTGTCGCACCATCATTGAAGTTATTGACTATTAGTATTAATCGTTGGAAGTTGCAACCATCGCGTCCTTGTGCTTGGCACCGATGGAATTTCAGAGTTTCTGCTAATCCCTCCATTTAGGCAAGCCTTCTGCTCACCCATCCTTCATGGTGGTCTGCTGCACCTCACACCTCATGGCTTCAGGTTTGTGAGCCAGGCTTTCATCCGCGCTTTTGTAGATTGAGTTTTCCTTCCCACCCGTTCTTTGAAGGTCCAGAGTGTCCTTTCAGTGTTTTGGGTTTGCGAGTCGAATTTGCTTGAGGGTTGGGCTCGCAAAGCGTTGTGGAAATTTGGCTAGCGAGTTGTTGTCGCCAGCGTGGGATGTCTGCTCCCCACCGGGTTTAGGGTTTGGATTCTTGTAGTACGTGGTCGGGGGGGTCTGGGCAACAGAACACGAATTAGGTGGGCATTGGAACAACAAATGCTGCACAGTTAAAGATGTGATAACTTTTGGCTCAGCTCGTTTGTCCATGGTGTTTGCTACCCGTTATTCCAAGCGATTTCTACTGCTGTTACGGGCATATCCAATCAGTTCCGCAGACTGTGGTAACAGTGCTTGGCTCCGCAAGTTGATGAACGTCGCTCACTCCACAGCGCCGTGCATATTGTGGGGGTTTTTGGTGGAAGCCTAAATCATGCCAACACCAGTCCTGTCCTGATTCTGGCTTTTGGATCGCGCAAAGCCACAGGCTGTATGAGTGCTGCACGTGCACGTATTTTGGGGTGCGTCTCGTCTTGCTAGCACAGTCCCATGCAATTTCCACTTCCCGAAATCGTTCGTGTTTCCGCAGCTAGCAATTCGTGCTCCCGCTGCATTCCCGCAGGTAAGGCTTGTGTTCCCGCGGTCTGTCGCATATTGGGGCCGTGGAACGGTCTTGGGAGCTTGGAGTGCGGGAATGGTTTTAGGCAACGTGGGACTGCTGGGTATTAGGTCCGAGGTAGAACCACCAGCTTGACTGGTTCTGCGTGTCGCTTCCTTTTCAGCTTTAGGGTTTGCTATCCGTCAGTCTGTTTAGGATGTACGGTTATCTAGTATTGTTGCGAGGGTCTACCGCTTGAGCCACGCATGCATTTGGCATGAGCTACCCATCACTGACCCTTTGCAGGGGCTTGGGGCGCCGGTAACATTACTGGTCTGAAGATTCCCCTTATCGCTCCCGTCAGTGTTTACGGGCTTTCAACACGTGAAATCGCCTGACCATGGTGCCCCCACTGTGCCGCATGTGCCGCACATTGCCGCAACCTCCGCCACATGGAAGCCTTCTGTACAGGTCCTGGAGGAGCGTCGACGTCTGGAGAATCGGCCAGCTGCTGAGGGAAGGGCAATGCCAGTGCAACGCATGTAAAAGTTTGAGACCAAGCTCCACGCCGTACCTCTTTAGCAAGGCTGGACCGACGGCGCGAACTCGAGGTGCCTGGTGTAGCTCGCGTTCTTCAGGCTTAAGGCACTTTGTGGCTGCCGCCGTAGCGCCACGCCCTTCTTGGGATTTTCTCTTGGCTCTTTGCCTTGCTGTGAACTCGCCAGGAGGCGCTGCGAGCGGCCAAAGGACGCCTGGACGAGGTCCCATCCTGAAATCGCAGTTCCAAGCCTCCCTGCGAGCGACGAGGTCCAGGAACGCCATCGCAGAGTGGAGTTGGAGAGTGCCGCGACCAAGTGTCGCATCTCATACCTGCAGGTGGGATTCGCAGCTTTTTCAAGTGTTCCCACAGCGATGACACACACACACACACGCACACACACACACACAGCAGGATGAGTTGGTCTTCGTGACACGCGAAGTCAAGACTGTGGAGGAGGCCTTCGCAGTCTTTTCTTTGCGAGTTTGGGGGGTGAGTTCAGTTTGTGTCACGTAGCTTTCCTGTGGCCGCTCGAGCAATTCGTCCGTTCTAGAATTTGAATCATCCGTGCCTCCGGCTCTCGTGAGCATGCGGAGTGGAATGTCCTGCGTTATGAGACTCGCTATGCTGGAGCCGACTTCTTGAGTTTCGCCTTTGACCTGGTGAACGGCCGAGGACTTGGATGCCCTTCGACAGGCTTGCGGCCTGGGTGACAAGGACAGCAGAAGTCTCTTGCCTGGTCTTGATGAAATCTGCAAGGGGCAGCAGAAAAGCCATGCCATCGGAGCTTGGAAGTTTCAGGAGATGCGGAGAATGCCAGCGCCGCTGGAGAACTCAGACGGAAGGGTCGCGGAACGTTTATAGACGGAGACGGCATTTTCAGAACGCTGGTTGACAGCTCAGCGAGACCGCTCGCTGAGCTTTCAAGTCAAAGGATGAAGCCGACAGTCGTAACGCATGCAATGATCTGCAGCAGGTGCTTGTCTGCTTTTGTCTGCTTGTTGCTGAAGGTATTCCGACCCTCAGGAGGAGAGACGTGACGTCCTGACAAAGGCTGGCTTGTTTTGTTGAGAAAGGACGCAGTCGCCTACTCTTTGCGATCACGAGAGGAGCAGTTTCTGCAGTTGTTGTTTTGGCACCATTCCTTGCCTCCTGAGATGAAGAAGTTACCCGCACTTGAAGTTGTGGCAAAGGTGAAAGCCGAAAGGGAGCTGCTTCTCAAAGACCAGAAGGCAGTGGAGGAGATTGGCAAGAAGCGGTCCTATTTGGGGTCAACACGTATTGCGTTCTCACCAGCCCATAGAAGCCACTTTTCGTCAAGACAACCCCTTGACATTTGGTAATTGAAGTCTTTCCTGCTCTTACGACTGTGACATCTCTCCTGCTTCACCTCTGGCAGAGGAGCTCCGCGGAAAGCTGGAACGGAGACTCGCCTCAAGTGAAAGCTGTTGCAACACGGGCCTTGCAGAGAGTTCGCGCGCAGTACCTTTTCGATTTCCAGTAGCTTCGTGCAAAGCTGAAGTTTGAGATGTGATTCTACAGTCGAGAAGAAAGGTAGTAGGAACTGCCGCAACTCCATCGACAGCCACTGCCAGCCTGTCTTGTAGAGCCCATGTCTCAGGGTCTTCGAGCAGAAGCTCGAAGCCCAGACGAAGCAGCAGGCCTCCAAATCGCCTTTTTTTGACGGTTCCGCAAGCGTTTCGAAGATTGGGACAGGAAGTGCAGAGTGACCGCGGGCAACATAGTTTGTTTGCAAGTATTTGTTTCGTTTCAAGCAGAGAAGCTGGGCGAGAGAGAGCATGTGAGTGTTAGGCCCAGGTGTCTTAGCTGCCAGAACATGCTCTGTGTCGAAGGCGCTATTGGAGAAGCAGCGCCAATGCGAGCAAGACAGGGGCCTTGCCCTCACCGCCATCGAGGCCAGTTTGCTGTGTTCAGCTGGTGCCCGTTCCGAAAATCTTGGGAAAGACTTGATCGCGATTGCTCGTGATTCCCAGCTCACTCACGATGAAATTTGTCAAGCTGTGATGTTTTGGTTTTGTCAAGTTGGGATCTTTCGGTTTTTGTCAAGCTCTTTTGTTTTTTCGTGCTCGCCACAACCCCTCAGCTTTTTTAGGGTTTAGCCCCGCCACTTCTTCTTTCATGTAGGGTTTGCTAGTTCCAGCTGTGTCTGAGTCGCCGTTCAGCCGGCTGTTTCTGACATCCGCGCACCAACTCGAGGCTCATGTGTTACGTTCTGTCGGTTTGTCTTCGTTGCCTCGCAAACAGTGGTGGCACCTGAAAGCAGTCCTAAAGTCCGGTCACCTTTTCAAGCTCCCCCCCCAGAGTGCATCCGCACGCTCTGGCAACTGACTCACGTTGCGCAATGCATTCAGGGCGGGTGGGTGGGGAAGAAAGAATGAAGTGCTACTGCTTAGCTACCATCCAATGGAATGCACAGACAACCGATGCTTTCAGAACTGCGCTGCGGCTAGAACGGGAGGTGAGCAGGAGAAACAAAAAGCCAATGATGCTCATGATGCGCGGGCTCGTGCAGAGCATCATTGGCTCCAACCCGTGTTTGCGGCCGAAACGACACACAAACTTTTGCTAGAAGCAGCGCTCACCAATCGACTCGGGCTGCTGATCCTCACAATTCCGGCTCTGACGACGAGCATTGAAGAAAGATTCTGTAAAGAAACGGGAACGTAAACTCCATGACTCCAAACCTGGGCACCTGTGCACCTTAGGATGCGGCCTTGTAGAATGCTGGGATGAAGGTTGAGTTCAGACCTTGTTGCCGAAGGCAGACAAAGCCAAGCTGCTGTCGATGCGCTCGGAAAGATTGAGGCAGTGCGGAGTCTTCGAAACACCGGGGCAGCGTTAGACTGAGACTGTCTGGACACTTTGCGAGGTCTTGGCAGGACATCGCAGATCTCGAAAAGCAGCTTCAGGACTGGATTGTAGAAAGGAGGGTGGATCAGAGAGGTCCCGTTCTTTCAGAAACCGACCTGAGCCAGGATGTGGACCAGGAGAAGCTTCTGGTTTCGCGCCAAGTCTGCTCCCTATTGGAATCTGGGCCACTCCAACTCTTGTGCTGAAGCTTTGGGACACGCTCACTGCTCCCTTTTCAGCCTGGCGGCAGTCCTTTGGTCAGAGAATCGGTGTTTTGCCAGGCTGTTGGCAGGAATGTGCCTTCTGCTCCAAGAAGTGCTGAGGTGTCATGGCCCCAGCCGGAAGCCGAAAGTCTTATTTCCAGTGGGCAGCAGCCACAGGAATCGGAGCAAAGGGGTGCCGCACGAGTCCATGCAGCGGACTTGGCGAAATCCAAACTGAGCGCCGCAGCGTCACTGCTTTCGGCCACTGCGGCCCGTAGCCGGAGGCCCTCGGTTGTCTACGGCAGTGCTCCGGCTGCCCGAGCTGCCCGAGCGTCCGAGGTACCCGCAAAGCCGCAAAGCAAGCCTTCAGCCTCCCCTTTCGTTCCTTCCGTTGCGTCTGAAGGAAGCGCCAAGTCACTGGAGAGCCCGAGCCTCGAGACTCCAGACTCGAGATGAGCTGGAGATGCTCTCCGAACACCGCAGGTGACTCCAGATCCTGTCCGTTTCCCTGCCATGGAGGTGCGCAGCAAACAAAACTTCTACACACAAATTCACGCGACACTTCCGATGTCACCGAGGCTCAAAGCCTTGCGACCGCTCCAGGCAGCACGGAAAAACTCGGGAGCCCCCCGCCGGTTTGCCACTGCACCCCCTTTGTCAGGTCTGCGCGCCGCCTTCACACAGGCGCCGAACCCAGGTGCAGGCGGGCATCTCAGAAGCAAAGGCCGAGCCATGCTGGGGGTAGATTCTGTCAGGCTACATGCGGCACGATGGCCGTGGAATTCGAGCTGATGCGTGAAAAGATGCATGGAGATGGCGACGCCGCGAGACCGTTGTAGTTCCTGGTTTGCAGGATGTATGAAACAACGATCAACATCGCAGACAAGTAGCTCGTGCAATATTTGGAGGCTAGATGGCTTAGATCCTTTCGAAGTCGGCGCTGGTATGGCATGTCTCGTAGAAGCAGAAGGGAACATGGTTCGCCGGAATCCATGCTTCTTGTAGCCTATGACTTTTCGTTTTGAGTCGGTGCAGCCGGGACAAAAGCTCACTCGGACCTTGCAATGCATTGAAGGGAAGCAGATCAAGACGTCGGCCGGGCTCAAGGAGAGGAGGGGAGATCAAGTACTACTGGTATCATGTGCTACAATCCAAACGGGGGGCTTTCTCTGTTCGGTGCGCTTGCGTTGCTTTTTTTCGCTTCTTGTCACTTCTTGTCCTGTATGTACACTTGTTCATAACCTCGGTTCGACGCCCTCAGTGCTCAAAACTGGGCTGAATGCTCTCGTGATGCCATGGCCTAGCCGATGTCTTTCTCGGATCCTTAGCTCAAGCATTTCCGAGTTGGAAACGTTTGTCATCCCTGCGGCAAAGTGCACCATGGACCCGAAAGCAGAAGCAGCAACGTAGCTCAACACATTGCCTTCGACACGCACGGGTTCTGTTCAGTCTCGAAAATTGTAAGCAAGGTAGTTGGCTGGAGTTAGCGTTCATGGAATGATGAGCTGGACGCAGGGCTTGCGCAGTCCGCAGCGGATGAGACCTCAGATTCAAAGAGCCAGTGATATCTGTGCAGATTGGCCAGATAAGTTTCCGCCAAGGGTTCCGATACATGCAGCGGAGCGCAAGCGACCGTGTCAGAGGCCGTAGCTTCGCTTTTCTATATGGTTTGTCTCGCTTGCTGGCGCTGCATATCGAGAACAGCTTGATGCGGTGCACAGGAAACGCGTGAGCACTTCAGCTTCCCGTCCTCGTCAATTGGCATCTTGTGCTGCCCCGAGAAGAAGATTCTTGAAAGTCTCCTCCATGGCGCTTCGGAGCCAGACGAAGTGCATGGGCCTGCTTGCACCTTGATATCGAATATGTCAGACAGCGGACTCCGTATTCCAGTTGCGTGGCGTCTTTTCCTTGGCCGAGACGACGGCCCGACATCGTGGTGCTTTTCCGAGGCGGCTTGGATCGGCTGGGCCTAGCTCGGCTTGGGAGTGCAAGAAGAGGCTGTGATCCTCAGGTACACTGAGTTCGCAAAGAAAAAACATCGAAGGTAAGTTGCGGGGCCGAGCATGCTTCAGAAGTTGCAGGGTTGCAGCAAACATTGCCACGTCAACATGGTTTCTGCTTCGGAAATGCGTGCCCGAGGCGGGTGTATTTTCGGCACTCGTTGAGGTTTGGTCAAGCCTGGTGTGGGTCACCCAGCCCGCCAATTGTGATTGGTTTGACGGCGGCGAACCACCCGGATCTGTAACACGCACTCACAAGTTTTTCGCCTTTGCCCTCGCCGAGCTTTGCCGACAGGAAGGTTTGTATCTTGGCAAACCATTGCCGGATCCTGATGGATCCTGCACGTGTACTGCTGCGGTCCCAAGCCAGGCTACACTTCAATGCAGATGGAATCCCGATGTTGTCGCTGAAGCACACGTCATCGTTGTTCCGGGCCTGCAAGCCGGCGCTTGCTTCCTTCACGCTCGCGCTTCCGTGCTCAGTTTTGGCTACCCCGGGCCCGCCCTGAACAAAGGAGTCAGGTTGGCCGCAACGAGAGCCTTGCCGACTTGGGCAGACGTGCTAGCAGAAAGAAATGGAGCCGGCACAGAGCGAGCACGGACTCGAGCAACACGCGGACGAGCGGATGGTGCATGCACCACCAGTTTCAAATGCAAAGACAATGACAACCGAGCGGCACCTGCTTTGTTCGCCGTGTGATGCGCAATCGGGAGCTACAGTGAGCGGTGGGTCCCACATGGTCCCACCCACTCCTTCGACACCTTCGTTCTCATGCGGTTCTGCCGCCCCGCAATATGCCGATTATTTCTGACCCTCACACCCCGTTATGGCTCCAATGATGTGTCGCTCCAGAATTTATTTGCCGCGAGGCAGGGGCCCGTGTCGCCCGCAACGCCCGTGTCGCTGGAATGAACATCGATGTGCCGATTCAGGGACATGCGGCGAAACGAAGCGGTCCGTTGCAGCATCCTGCCAGGAAGAGCCCTTGCACTGGCCAGCAAGTGCTATGTTGGTCGACCCGAGACGCTCTGCATTGCTGAAACCCACTGCACGCCGCCTGCTCACAGCCACATGCCACCCTGCGTGGGGCGTCGCTACGTGAAAGGCTGCTGCGAGCAGCGCTCCCCATGATTTTGCTTTTACATGGTGCCGTTCCATTCGAGGCTTCCGGTGATATGTCACCAATCCTTGTCAGCCTTGCGACAGCACTTCCCATGCCCTGCCTCCAAGAGCTATGCTCCGGATGCCATGCCGTTTCGCTACTCCACGCGCCTGCCGGCCGCCTGGGCAGAGCGGCCCGACTGGGAAGCGTGCCTACGACCCACGACCCCGGCGGATCCGGGCGAGCCGGGCGATACTGCTGTCGAATTCCGCAATTCTCTGGGGAGAACGTCCTGATGCCGGCGGCCAAGGCAACAGCCCCCGGTGTCGCGGCCCGATCGCTTGGACTTTGTCATCTATGGCAATCTATGGTGTGTCCAATTTCCCAGGCCCTCTACCAGAAGAGCGTGACGGGGTGGCGTTAGCGACGTCACGCCGCGGTATTTGGAACGCTGCGGGCGAGGAAACCACCGGGCCTCGCAGCAGATCCGTGTGGGTCAACGATAGGTCCCTCTCGGGGCTTAAAGTACTCGGGTTTCCCTTGCGGAACGATGCTTCCGTAGCCCGCAAGCTTGGACTCAGGTGTCAAGAAGGTCCAAGAACAGGATTGCCTGTTGCAAAGCATCACTTGCAAGCGGCATGGTTACCACCTGTTTCGCATCCGCACCTCACGGCGGACTAGGCTGCCACAGAAAGCATCGCACCAGCAAAAGAAGCTTCCTTGTCCACCCAGAACGGGGACAGCCAGGTGCATAAGACAGCTGACGAGCAGCAGGATTGAAGACCCGAGCCGATTGTCCCGGCACGCAGCGTCTGTCAACAGCTACCAAAAAGGTGTTGCCTGAGGACGTCGTCAGCTTTGCAGCAGTTCTGATCCGCGAGCGGCCGTGATCAGAGACCTTGGTGAGGGCAACAGCTGCAAGCTCCTGCAAGTAGTGCTCGAGGCCCACTGTAACTCGCCAGGAGTCACTCCCAGCCAGTAGCGATGTACAGCACCACCTCCACGCAGTCCGCCAATGGTCAAAGCCAAGCCACGTGGCACATCTGGTTGCTGCAGCAGGAAATCCCGGCGATACCGGTAAGTGGAAGGCGAAGAGGGCCACAGCAGAGCCTCAGCGCGAAGGCCTGAAAAGGCCCGGCCAATTAGCCGCACAGCGCTCGGCTCGCTAACTCGTGTGTGCTGGACCTCGGGGCGGCCACGGGTAGCAGTCTGTGACTCCCGAGAGTTCAGGTAGATGGAACGTCATCCGTAGCAGCATGTCGCGGCGTCGACACCTCAGCACCTCACCAATCCTCGCCAAACCATAAAAGGCCAGCAAAGTATAGCAAAGTAGTGGCTCCCCACCTTTCCGTTTGCCATGACATCGCCAGAAACACCATCGCCTTCACAAGCGGCTCGGGGATCGGGCAGCGATGCACCGGAGGCTCCAAAGCCTCCCATGTCGCAACCATTTCCCAAGCCATCGTCAAATATGGCTTGACACCCATGACTCGCCTTTGTGCCACAATTGCTCGTGTGCCGAAAGAACTACGGGTCTTCCCGCGGCGGAAACAGTCACTGCCGCACAGCAAGCGACGCAAGCCATCTTGAACCGCGCTCGGCGCGCTGCTGCTGGCGTGAATTGCGTGCTGTTCCGGATGGCCTGCAAGAATGCCTTCCCCCTGCTCTCCGGCGAGGTGTTGAGCTCCTTGCCGATGCCACAAGCCGTATGCCATGCGGTTAGAACTCGTCAGCGTTAGCCAGCTCCTTGCCCACTGGCCGACCGTATGCACAGTGGTTTGAACCAGGCCCCGGAAAAGCCGTCACCATTTTGGCTCAAGCCATTTTGGCTCAAACCATTTTGGCTCAAGCTCAAGCTCAAGCCGTTTTTCGTCTCGGCGTAGTTTGTTGTCGGCCGCCCGTGGGCACTGACTCCTGGGGGCGGCGCGAAGTGCGCAGCTGGAAAGCCGGAGTAGCTTATAGGGTCAAGTAAAGGGGCAGGGGACGCGCATGCCTGCTGTGCTGCTCGAGATCGCGGGTGTGCAAGTGAACGGCGTGGTCGAGCAAGAGTCCGCCGTGTTGCATGTGGCTAGCATCTTCGCCGCCGTGGGCATTCTTCGCCCGGTGCCTGCACAGCCTGCCGCCGGGGAAGAGCACAAAGCCCCGCCGCCTCCACACCGCCGCCGCCGCGGTGAGCTCCCCGTGTCGCTCACGCGCAGCCGCAAGGGGCACCAGCGTCGGTCGGTCCAGTCCGGCCGCGGTCGCAACCGCGGTGGCAAGAACCCGCCGGCCGCTGCCACAGGCCCGTTTATTTTCCCTGCAGCCTCTGTGCAGCCTGCTAGCCCCCGTTGTGTGCTCCCGAAAGGATTTGATCTTGCAGTGAGTTGGGCATAGCCTGCATTTGTTGTTGCATCTTTGGCTGTGCGAGGCTGCCGTAAGAGGCCCGCCGCGTCCATTTTTGCCTACCCTTTTAACCGAGTTCTCCTTACCTGTGCTTCGCCAATCGCTTTTGAAGGCTGAGGGCTTTAGCACGTTTCTTCTGCATAATTTTCCCCACGACCCGTTGCTCGCCCAGACCGTAAACAGTGTCCAAAAAAAGCGAGTTACGCATTGGTTGCCGGTCATGTCGAGGCCGCCTGACTGGGGTGACACTCTGCCTGATGTCACGTCTATACAGTACATATCGCCTTCTCGCCGCGGACGATTCACCATGACGA